CAGGCGGGCACCGGGTGCCATGGCAACGGGATGCGAGGAGGAGGTGGCGGTGGTGGTGGTAGGAAACGTTGGGGGCTGCTTTCTTGCGAGGAAGTGATCGTCCCCCTGTAGTAGGCACTGGTGAAGCCGTATCTCGAGTGCTGTGTTCAGTTTTGGGCCCCACACGAGAAGAAAGACATTGAGGTACTGGAGCGTGTCCGGAGAAGGGCAACGGAGCCGGTGAGGGGTCTGGGAGGAGCGGCTGAGGGAACTGGGGGTGTTCAGCCTGGAGAAAAGGAGGCTGAGGGGAGACCTTCTCGCTCTCTACAGCTCCCTGAAAGGAGGGTGTAGCGAGGGGGGTTCGGTCTCTTCAACCAAGTAACAAGTGGTAGGGCAAGAGGAAATGGCCTCAAGTCGCGCCAGGGGAGGTTTAGGATGGATATTAGGAAAAATTTCTTCACCAAAAGGGTTACCAGACATTGGAAGAGGCTGGCCGGGGAAGTGGTGGAATCGCCATCCTTGGAGGTGTTTAAAAGATCGGTAAATGTGGTGTTGAGGGACATGGTTTAGTGGTAGTTTTGGCAGTGTTAGGTTGACAGTTGGACTCAATGATGTTAAAGGTCCCTTCCAACCTAGACTATGCTATCCTACCTACACCCTGAGAGGTACGTGCACCCATCATCTCCAGCACCACTTTGTTTTCTGGATGGGCCCCGCAGCAGCAGCCGTCCCACTCATTCAAGATCGCCAAGGTTCTCCAGACCCAAAGAAATGAGGTTTCCTTCCCTCTCCAGCCCCAGCCCCCCTTGGGGTGTTTTCCAGGCTTTGGGCAGAGCAGGAGCCGCCCCTTGGGGTCTGTGCTTTGGGTCAACACGCGTGGGGCAGGGCGGGTGGTACTTGCTCCCTCTCAGGTGATTTTGCAGAGTGATTCCTTGGTGTCGGTGTGATGTTCCTCATGAAGGCTTCTGCAGAAGCTCAAGACTTTTTTGGGGAATGGCAGGGCTTGTTTTTAAGACTCGGATCGCACTTTGTTTAGAGGGGCTTGGAGAGGTCCGAGCAGCCCAGAGCCAGCCTGGCAGGCTCCAGAGGGGCCTGAGCAGGAGAGGGGAGTTTGTTTGGGAAATCCTTTTCTCCCTGCAGGTAGGAGGTTGGTGTGGATGTGACCAACGGTGTTAGATTCCCCCTGCAACGTGGAGGTGGAGGTTGGATGAATCTGTAAACGGACTTGCTGGAGCAGGGGAAGGCTGGAATCCTGCAATGGTGAGTGTGGTACGGTACGAAGGCAAGCCTGGGAAATCCAAATTTGATGCTCTGGCACCTCTGTTCAGAGGCAGAAGTGATCCCGAGGGCGGGAGGCTTCTGCCCAGCTGGCAGTCAGGAAGGGCTGTGCTCACTGGTGTCTCAAAAGTTGCAAATATCTCTGTGGTTCCCCTGTGTTTCACGTGCCATTTCCCAAACAGTGTGGGCGGGAGGAGGGCTTTGCTGTTGTTTGTGGGATTGTCTGGAGAAAGCTGCCTCTGGCTTTAGTGTTTTGAGAAAGTCCAGGTCAGACTTGCTTTATTTTCTAATGAGGGAATTTGTCTTTCTCCATAGGCTACAAAACCCAAGAAAAGTTTAAGAGGTACGTAGGCTCGTGTGCTTTCCTTTCGCTGTCCGTAGGTGCTTTGATCTGGGAAAGC